GGGCTGCCAGCTGGGAGTTGCAGAGTGATATGGCTGCTGGCCACTAGAATAGAACTATTCTTCAAATGCCTAATTCTTCTTGTCTAATAGCGCCACTTGCCTCATTCACATATTTTGTTATGATTTCTGTTTTACCTCCTGCATATATATGGCAGTACATCTTCAAGTACATCATACAAGTCTAGCGCTCAACTAATACAGGCTGCAAAGGCCCAGAAGTCTAATTTTCTCACACTCACAAGTACTGTGTTATGGAAAAATGGGGATGTTTATAGCCTGGTACCACAGAAAAGAACTAGGAATGATGCGTTAGCTTAATTTTACATTTTTAATGCAATTAGTTAACTTAGGATCATTTGAAATATTAATTGAATGGTACTGTTTTTGCACAAAGAAATCGTATATACTGTATATAGTACTATATTTGAAGAATAGTACTGGATAATACAGAGTCAACAGGACTATGTCAAAACCAATTATGAAATAAGGCACAATGTGCAGTTAAAGAAAACAGGATGCTTTTCATTACACAAAGGATTGTGGGTGTCTGGAACAAGTCTGGAAGCAGCCACTTTACTTAAGGTCCCTGGAGCCATTTAGCTGGATGAACAGACCAATGAACTAATAACTATCAAAGGGCTGAACTCCATTCCTTTGCAGTTGTTCTTATGTCATTCACCGTCCTACACATTCTCCTCGCTGTGGCTTCAGCTCTGAGTGCTTAGTCACAAGCCTCCTCAGAGCCCTCGGGGCACCCTGGCTCCCCCACTTTCCTGTGTTATAAGCAAGGCGTAACGGAGCAGCTGGCACTCGGAGGGCATTACTAAGTTTTAGCATCTGGAAAAGAGTTTTGGGTTTCCGAAGGTCATGGTTTTAAAGGTCATTTAGACCTCCAAACCTGTAACCTGCAACCTGACACACGACACACTGCTGCAGCTGAGGCCTCGCTTTAAAATAGGTGAAGGAGATACATGGAGGGATACACAGAGAGTCAATCGTTTAACATCGCAGATTTTAAATCGCAGTTTCCTGTTAACATCAGTCTTTCGGCTGTGGACGTTAGAGGGGATAGGTTGGGCACAGACAGTGAGGCTGGACAGCTGTAGGGAGAAGCTGGTTGTCTTTCCCAAGGGATGTGTCGAGCCTCCTCCCTGGAATACTGACCGGGACAGTCTCCCCATCGAGTTCACCCCAAAAGTTAGGAGTTCCAGTCTTTCTCTGTGGCTGGAATACAAGTGTAGCTCTCAAATGCAACCTGTGTCAGAGTCCACTAAGCTGGGTAGCCCGCCAGCAATCTACGAACACTGATAAAGTAGCAGCTGACCTGGCTGCTGCTGAGTCAGGGTCAAAAGAACCAAGAACCAAGTCTTTAACCATGGTGTTGATTCAAAGGGCTCCTTCTGAGACTGCCTGATGGAACTCTCAAACCATTGAACTTCAAATAACCAAAACTGCATTTCTGTTGAAATGCTTCATCACATCTGTGGCCTTTCTTAAGCTGTTAACAAAGCTCAAGAACAGGGAAATTCAGGAGGACTCAGGGCCCAGAACTGAGAACTTCCTCTTCTGGAAAGAGTATTTGTTAACTACAGATCAGTTCACAATGACCGTGGCAACCCGGCTTCCTTAAAAGGTCGCCTATTCAACTACAACACCATCCAGGCATCCAAACTAAGCCTTGCTTAGTTTATGGTACTCAACTAGGTCAGAACTCAGTGTGGTCTAGTCTGCTGTTAGCCTCCACTTTGAAACAAACAGACAACTCCCTAAGTGCGTGTAGTCTTTATTTAGCAGAAAAATTGATTGTAATTCCGTTAAACCCTGTGTGATACTGCTCCAGCACTCATTTGCTAATGATAAAAGACTTAATTACATAACTTCATTCCATTTTAATGGATTGAGATGACGCCAAAGGGAGCTCTCAACTCAAAGCTTGGTAAACGTTGCTTTTATGCAATGGCAGTAGGGTTTCTAATTAACTCCACATGGTCTTTTTTCATCAAAGGTGATCCATCCACTTTAACCTCATGTGTGGGGAACAGTCTACAGTTTTAAGACTATAACCAGGATGAGAGGAGTTTTCTAAAAGGCACTTTGGATTTGGAGCTACAAAGGCTGTTGTTCACAGTTTCTGTTTTGTTTCTCACACATCTATACTGACAAAAGGCATTAGTGAAAGTGTTTGAGAACACAATTTTTTAAAAATATTTTCCTTAAAGGTGTGGTTACAACTAATCCTCTAAAAATACACATGGTATTTTGTGACCTTTCGGTTGCTGTTTAATTACATAAAAGATGACCATTACAATACTTTCCCTTACATCTTCAAAATTCCAGTTTGTGCAGTTTGTACTGTCTTAACTACAAACTTCATCAGTCATTACTGTAATGCTACAGTGAAACAATCTAAAAGATTTTCTCAGGACATTGAAAACACATTTTTTTAAACAACAAATGTATTAAAGATCCATACTGACAAGAGGTCAGTTGTCAACAACAAAAACAAACAAACAAACAGATAAACTGAAACATTGCTACAGTACATGCCATGAACCATTTTCTAAAGAAATGGCGCCACAAGACCCCAGAAAATCATCGGATATTTGCTGCGTCAAAAAGCAGCACTGCGGTATTGAGGAGCATTTCAGCAGTATTTGTTAATTACAGTGACTATAATCTCCTGCATTTGAATTTTCGGTTTTGACTATCAGTTTATTGCAGACCAATTGCTGAGTTCGGATTTGTTATCAGCTGGGTAGCAGAGTCCCATAGCTCCAGTCTGTCAATGCAAGAATTTCCTTAGCTGTTTTTATAATCCCACTTGTAATGTGTACATTGAGATAAGCCTGCAGAAAGGCCTCCCTTAGCAACAGTGTGCAGAAGCCTTCTCTAGCAACCAGCAGGGCAGTGGCCTTCCTTATCAACCAGTCAGGGCTATAATATCAACAATCCTTCACTGGAAAATAATAGATGCTCATAAATAGAACAGTTCACTTCCTGAATCAAGTCTGAATTATTTTCATAGAACAGCAGTGATTATGGCAAAATACTAAATCTATTGAAGGATTACTTGTAAAACGACACAATACAAAAAAATAATCTCTGCATCTTCAATGTGCTGAAACTGAAAAAAACGTCTTAAAGGTAATTGTGTAACAGGAATTCAGTTATCTTGTTTGAGAGCTGTTGAACTGTGAATAGTTTCCTAGTTTAACCTGTTAATTAATTTATGGATCTCACAGCTGCTTTTTCTCATATGGGATGAATCTGATTTCAGACCAAATATTTAAAAGGACTGCTCATAATTTACTTTGTGTACTGATGTACAGTGCTTACAGTTGCAAGAAAAGGTTTGTGAACCCTTTGGAATTTCTTGTGCTCAGGGCATGGTTCACATGAACAGCTCTCTCTTGAGAAGACCAGATGCTGTCAGTAACCAATCTTTGTGTGCCTTTTTTATAGGGAAGGGCACCTCCAATCCACACCTCCAATCTCATCTCACTGATTGGAAGACCTGACTCCAGTTAGCTTTGGGAGAAGTCATCAGCCTAGAAGGTCTCATACTTTTTCCAACTTAGACTGTGAATGTTTAAATGATGTGTTTAGTACTGACAAGAAGTACAATGCTTTGTGTTATTAGTTTAAGCACATTGTGTTTGTGTATTATAGTGACTTAGTTGAAGATCAGACCACATTTGTATGAGTAATTAATGCAGAAATCCAGGTAATTCCAAAGGGTTCACAAACTTTTTCTTGCAACTGTATGTTAAGTGACATTTATTATGCTCAAACCTGTACAAGACTGTAATACACTCCACTGGCCACTTTATTAGGTACACCTATCTTTTCCTGGGTAGGACCCCCTTTTGCCTCCAGAACAGTCTGAATTCTTCGCAGCACGGATTCAACAAGGTGCTGGAAACATTCCTTAGGGATTTTGGTCCATGCCGACTCGATAGCAGTTCCTGCAGATTTTTGGCCACACATTCATGCTGCGTGCTTTTTATATTGAGTTGTAGCCACATGATTCGCTGTTTGTAGCTCGTTGCGTTAATAAAGCGGCCACTGAGTATATCTCCCACTACTTCACATGAAAGGAAAGCTTTTATAAGCAGTGTTTCTCTTACTTCCCTCAGCCATGGAGACACAGACCCTTCTGTTTCTGTCCCTTCACAGCTCAAAATGCAAGAAAGATATCGAAGGCCAAAATCATGCATAGGCTCCCCCAGCTGTTACACAATGGATGAATCTGTTTCTTAATCCTAACAGTTCACCGATACTGGTTTTCATACTATCCCTCGGAATGTGTGCGTCAGACTGTCAGTTTCCCCTTTACCTTGAACTCCTGAGGGAAGCTCCAGAGCCGAAAACCTTGCGTATTCGACTCTCTTTTTTCTGTGTGGAAGGACCCTTTACTTTTTGCTTGCACGTCAAAGGCAACTGAAAGACAGAAGCCAAAATTAAACCAATGAGGCGGAAGAGCAAGACATGCTGCACTTAAGAGCCAAAATAAAAGAATCGCATGAAAAAACATGAAAGTGGACACACACGTGAAGTGTTACGAACATTTAAATACAGTCCTTAGGCACTCACACTCACTGATCCCACAGATAAACCAAGCATCCCACAGATAAGCAGACAGCAGCCAGCGATCTCCTTGCTCCTTATTATGCAAATCAGAAACTGTTTGAACAGAGGAGACAGAAACAATCTGGCAGTCAGCTTTCTGGATGGGACTTTTTCTTCTCTCTCCTAGATAACACATCTTGAAAAATTGGTTCCGGTAAGACACAATGCTTATAAGCAAGAATAACATCTGGGGCACATCAGAAAGCAGAGATAAGCTGTTTTTTTCACTGCCTCTCTGAGCGCAAAGAGGATGGATGAGCTGGCTAATGGAGAGATTAATACTGGGTCTGTGTTAGTGGGGTTAGGGCATAAAACTGAGGCAATCCGAGCAATTTGAAAATGAGCTTCGTCTTCAAAAGAAGGCAAATTCAAGAGGTTCAGATGACAATTGCAAGCAGATGGAAGAGGGGCAGCATACGTATGTGCCACTGATCTCTAGGGATTCTTCCCAAATAGGAAAAAAAAGAGAAACAGATTGGGCTATTAGTTCGCAGCTGATTATGTCATTACCCTGGCTGGGTTCTGGCCAAAACCAGCCACGCTGCCAAGCCCTGCTGACAAACTCAACCGCAGTCAAACCGAGAGGGAATTAGCAACTGCAGACTCATGTGATGCCACACACTTAAAAACTTTTAGATTCGTCCTATTGCATTACGTTGCAATAGCAAAATAATAGACAATGTCCTTAAGAGAGGGTT